CATTTCCCTAAACTCCGTGCTACAGATAATTTTTTACAACAAGATCAACCTGCTGTGATGGTTGTCATTTCCCTAAACTCCGTGCTACAGATAATTTTTTACAACAAGATCAACCTGCTGTGATGGTTGTCATTTCCCTAAACTCCGTGCTATAGATAATTTTTTACAACAAGATCAATTTGCTGTGATGGTTGTCATTTCCCTAAACTCCGTGCTATAGATAATTTTTTACAACAAGATCAACCTGCTGTGATGAATGTTTTTTTCACTAGGCCCCATTACAGAATTTCATCAAAGCGACAAAGAAGAAAAATAGTTATTGCATTTTCAAAACATTCGTTTTTCATCCACAATCATTTATGTAGTAACAACAAAAAAAGTCAATTTATAACGGATAAAAAAAAACGTACATTAACTCGTTAATAATTTGTTTGTTTGTTTGTTTGTTTGTTTTGAATTTCGCGCAAAGCTACACGAGGGCTATCTGCGCTAGCCGTCCCTAATTTAGCAGTGTAAGACTAGAGGGAAGGCAGCTAGTCATCACCACCCACCGCCAACTGTTGGGCTACTCTTTTACTAACGAATGGTGGGATTGACCGTCACATTATAACGCCCCCACGGCTGAAAGGGCGAGCATGTTCGGTGGGACGGGGATTCGAACCCGCGACCCTCAGATTGCGAGTCGAGCGCCCTAACCACCTGGCCATGCCGGGCCAACTCGTTAATAAAACAACAAATTAATATTTTCGCTGACTATAAATATATTTTACTTTCGACAGCGAACAGATAATGTCCATTCACGTGAAGTTATGACGTCAGAATAGTCCTTGATCGAGGTTAGCTGTAGCCTCAAAACAGATCAACATCAAAGACAAACCGAAATGTACAGATTTAACTATCCTCACATATTCTTCTCAATTGATCCCCATTGAATGCTCATATTTCTGAAAGTTTTTCAGCATTTGGAACTAATGGGAATCAATTTCCAAAAAAATAAATAAGTAAATTCTCATTCCGTCAGATATTTGGATTTAACGTTTTCACATTAAACTATGTCTAGTACAGATTGAGCTAGGCCTTAAATGTTATCACATCAAACTGTATCTAGTACAGCTTGGGCTAAGCCTTAAATGTTATCATATCAGACTATCCCTAGTACAACTTGAGCTACGCCTTGATTGTTATAACATCAGACTATATCTAATACATCTTGGGCTAGGCCTTAAATGCTATAACATCAGACTATATCTAGTACGGCTTGAGCTGGGCCTTAAATGTTATTACATCAGACTATATCTAGTACGGCTTGTGCTGGGCCTTAAATGTTATCACATCAGACTATCCCTAGTACAGCTTGAGGTACGTCTTGAATGTTATAACATCAGACTATATCTAGTACAGCTTGAGCTAGGCCTTAAATGTTATAACATCAGATTATCTCTAGTACAGCTTGAGCTGGTCCATAAATGTTATAACATCAGATTATCCCTAGTACAGCTTGAGCTAGTCCATAAATGTTATAACATCAGATTATCCCTAGTACAGCTTGAGCTGGTCTATAAATGTTATAACATCAGATTATCCCTAGTACAGCTTGAACTAGACCTTGAATGTTATAACATGAGACCATATCTAGTACAGCTTGAGCTAGGCCTTGAATCTTATTAGATCAAACTTAATACGACTTAGATGAGTCTTAAATTTCATTACATCAAAGTAAATCTAGTAGACTGAGCTGGGTCTTAAATGTTATTCCATTAGCAATAGACCATGAAGAGTAGATAATAGCATAAATGCTCCTATGAGCAGGATTTCATTCTTAACACACATACAGGTAAATTTTACTATATATGTAACAAAAAAGTTTACAAATAATCTACAGTTTACCTTGGCACACCAACCGCCTAACTATCCCCCACACCCCTCACCACACAAACATATATATATATATATATCCTCCTCAATCAGTATGAAATGAGGAGTAAGAAATCAGAAAATACATAAAAAAGTATCATACTATACAACCCTGCAGAAAAATACTAAAAACAGAAAGGAATGAATACACAAGTAATTAAAACATTGAGGTATATCAATATATGTTCAGAGTGTCAGAGGAACAATAAGGTATTTCAAGACATGTTCAGAGTGTCAGAGGAACAGTAAGGTATTTCAAGACATGTTCAGAGTGTCAGAAGAACAGTGAGGTATGCCAAGATATGTTTAGAGTGTCAGAGGAACAGTAAGGAATTTCAAGACATGTTCAGAGTGTCAGATGAACAGTGAGGTATTTCAAGACATGTTCAGAGTGTCAGAAGAACAGTGAGGTATGCCAAGACATGTTCAGAGTGTCAGAGGAACAATAAGGTATTTCAAGACATGTTCAGAGTGTCAGAGGAACAGTAAGGTATTTCAAGACATGTTCAGAGTATCAGAAGAACAGTGAGGTATGCCAAGAGATGTTCAGAGTGTCAGAGGAACAGTAAGGTATTTCAAGACATGTCAGAGTGTCAGAAGAACAGTGAGGTATGCCAAGAGATGTTTAGAGTGTCAGAAGAACAGTGAGGTATGCCAAGATATGTTCAGAGTGTCAGAGGAACAGTAAGGTATTTCAAGACATGTTCAGAGTGTCAAAAGAACAGTGAGGTATGCCAAGAGATGTTCAGAGTGTCAGAAAAACAGTGAGGTGTGCCAAGACATGTAACAGATTCACAAGTGGCTAAAAGTGAGATCAATTGTCCCAATCGAAGGCCGGAAATTAGAAGCATAATCGTTTATAACAAAATATTGACATTTCATTACACTAATCAACAAACCTTTTCTATTGAGATGTTCTGAGAGGACCTGTGTCAAGGAACTTTCGATCAGGTTCATACAATAATGCTAGTAACATCAGTCGACTGATGGATGAGCGTTGTCTTAAGATACTTCAGACAATAGACAAGCGGCTGACTGAACGTATAGAAATTCATTAAGACGTACACCTTTCTTCAATGATGTACTTTTTGTTTTGATTGTTGAATATCACGCAAAGCTATCTGCGCCAGCTGTTCCTAATTTCAGACTGATAAACTATAGGGAAGGCAACTAGCTAGCACCATCCATCTCCAACTCCTTGGGCTACTATATTCAAATAGTAGGATTCGACTGTCAGTCTTTCAACGCACCCACGGCCCTCACTGGTGTGTACTAAGTATCTGATTGTATGAGAAGATGGGTCAGCCATATGTTCGTAAAGCAAATGTGGTTCTAAATATGATAAATGCGCTTTTATTATGGAATTGTGCATCTATCGTAGTACAATGTTGCACTTTATTAATATTCGAATAACTTCAAAATGATACTATATAAATATTTCTGTAATAACTAATTCCTCCTTTTTATTCCCGTACTTAATATTAGTTTCGTTTTTATTAGGCCGTCAAGAATTTTTTTTAGATGAAAAAAAAACAAACCGAACAACCTATATATCAAAACAAAACATTTATTAAATGAAATAGTCTCCATTCTTATCGATGAATGCTTTTCCATGTCGATGTCTTCTTTAACACCTTCCACATTTGCATACGTTTTCCCATTAAGATGGTGTTGCAGCGAACGAAAAAGATGGTAATCTGGTGGTGCCATATCTGGAAAATATGGTGGGTGTGGGAGAACTTCCCAACCCAACTCCATATTCTTGTGTTGCACCAAACGTTCCACATGTGGACGTGCA